CTTTGAGCTTTAATGATAGGGGTCATGTCCCTAAACCTTTTGGTACCAAAATTACTTGGGTACCAAAATAAATTTGATTTTAAACCAAGAATTTTAGTATTTTTATTTTTCTTTGTCTTGGTTTTGAAAATTATGTTTTAATATCTTTTGGTTATGAAAACAAATTTTCTTTTATCAAGTCTTTTGTTTTCATGATTATTAGTTTTGATTTTGATGAGATGTTTGTATTTATATAACCCTCCGGGTTTATTGGGTGTTTATTCCCAAATCAAGTTTACCGGATGCTAAAATGATTATATGGGTTGGAACAAGCTCAAGAGCTTGATATAATTGTTGCCTCTCTTAAAAATTGTGTTTTGATTTGTTGCTTTTGAATTCATTATAATTCACTTATATGATGATATTTATGTGTTTGTGCTTATGGATCATCTATTCGTGCCTTATAATGTATTCTATATGTGATTTGATCAAATCCCACAAAGAAAATTCATTTCATTGATCAAACATCGGTTTTGGATATAAATTTTGATTTATGAATTCTTTTGGTTGATTTGTTTTCACTTGAAAACTTTTTGCATGATTCTCATGTTCCTTCTCTTTTGATTTCATAAATCTACTCTTATACATGGTTTTACGTTCTTCGATATGAGATACTATGTTCATCTTGATATATTCATATGTGTTCTCATTGTCTTTAAGTATGTGAGTTGTGTTTAGCATATTTTCCATCTATGCTTGCTCACATATGTTTGCCATGATCTTTATTTCATATATTTTCTATATGGCATTTTGATAGGGGGAGCAATCCCTATACTTGCTTCATACTCACCCATGCTTATTTGTAGGGGGAGCTTTCGCTCTCTTAATTCTTTTGTCCCCTTTTTGATGTTGTCAAAGGGGGAGAAATATTGTGAGTATATCTATCTTGTTTGTTTATATGCATGTGAGTTATTATCTTGTATATGTTCATTTCCTTCATGCATATATTCCTTTTTGTAAATTGTTTGTCATCATCAAAAAGGGGGAGATTGTTGGCCTTCTTGTTTTGATGATGTTTAACAAACAATTTATTACTAATGTTGTTTGTCTAGTGTTTGTGCATTCCTATGTTTTGTAGACAAACAACGTTGTTGGAGGATGGATGGAATAGAGCTTCAACGATCATATCCAAAGGAGGTTGGCGGAATGTCGGTGAAGCCTTGCTATTCAAAGTTCAAGATCCAAGTTCAAGCTTCATCCGCGAGATTACCAAGTCAAGCTTATTGAAGATCAAGATCATTGCTTGGGTAATTTAGTTTAGGAATTTATATTATGTGTGTTAGTACTTTAAGCTCAATCATATACACACATACACGTTTTGGATTTTGTATATATATAGTTATATATATACATATATGTTTTGGTTTGATAGTTTTCAAGTTTTACTATGAAACAAATGAATAGAATTGGAAAATACTATTTTGTTTCATGTTTATATGCCTATATATGATTTTCCCTTTAACAAGCTTATATTTAATGAAATCATATTTAGTGTTTTGAATATATTGCATAGAATATGCAAATTTATGAAAATATTATATTTCTAGATTATAGACTTCATAACAACATGTTATATCTTTTATCAAGTCTATACAATCATTTCATAAGGTTTCAAAATGTTGTTTAAGTCAAAATATCAAAATATCAATTTTCAGGTTTTCATGTTTTGGACTATTTTGTAAAATGATGATATTTTTCATTTGGGAAGTCTTTTTAGAAAACCAGTTTTTGTAGCATGTTTATTATCATGTCTACAATCATTCCCCAAAGTTTTACATTTTTCTGAATTTGTTTGATATTTTTAAACAGCTTTTTAAAATCAGCAAATCAGGTTTTTTTAGCTGTGTCAGATTTCGGTCGACCGACCCGGTCGACCGATCAGTTGGTTTTTCAGCATTGGGCGACAAAGAGTCTGTCGGTCGACCGGTCCGGTCGACCGAGAGCTCCATCGGTCGACCGCACCGGTCTAGCCGTTGCTTTTTAACGGCTCTTTCTCTGAGCTGTTTGCTGGGGTTTTTGGTCATTTCGTTTTGGGGTTTTTGGCTGAGCTTTGAGTGGGTATATATACCCCATTGCTGATGTCTTTTCAAGTTAGCCAAGAGAGTTTAAAACCAAGTTTAAGAAAGTTTTTAATCAAGGGTTTAAGTTTTGTTTAAAAGAGTTTAAGAGTTTGTTTGAGTTTAGTTTGTGAAGCAAATTTCACAAGAGCAAAGAGGTTTAATCAAGGGTTTAAGTTTGTTTAAAGTGTGTTTATAAGCTTTTAAGCATTTGAGTGTTTTGGTTTTGTGAATCACTTCCACAAGAGCTTGAGGAGATCATCTATTGGTGTTTGGGCATTCAACTATTCTCCCTCCAACTCTTGATATATTGAGAAGTTTTCTAAACTCAAACTCTAGCTTTACATTTATATACTTGTTTGATTATCATTGTTCTTAAGCTAGATTTTATATTTGAGTTTAGTTTGATTTTGATTTATATCTCTTTGTTCACACACAACCTATTGAGCTTATTGTATTTTCATTCATAGTATAATTGGGTTGTGAGATTGTGTATCTTAGAGAGTGAGCTTACAATTCGTTCTCATCCATTGTAGAGAACAAACACTTTGTATTGAGCCTTAATTGTGAGGATACACTTTGTAATACACTTGTACATCAAGAGAGAAGTGTGTGGCGAGAGGCGGGGATCGTCCCAAACAAACACTTTGTATTGTGCTTATTGTGAGATTCACTTTATAATATACTTGTACACCGAGAGAAGTGTGTGGCGAGAGTCGGGGATCGTCCCAAGAGGAGTGGGGTAGGTGACGAGAGGTTGTAATTCCTAACACTTGAGGGAGACACGTCTAGTTCCAACACTTAGTGGGTGTAGAGTGTGATTGCAAGAGTGTTGACTGTAAAGTTTTCGGTTAGCTAGAAAACCGAGTGTGAGGTGTAAACGTTATTCGGGTGAACGTAGAAAACCCGGTTGTGATAGTGGAGATCTCCTCGAGGTGAGGAGCGGGGACGTAGGTCGTGGGGACCGAACCTCGTAAACATATCCTTTGTTTGTGTTTGCATTGGCGCACTTGTTTTCATGTTCATATCTTACATCGTCATTGTGTATTGCTTGTTGATCATTTTACCCTATCACATTTGTAGTTAAATTGTTTACCCCTTGTGTGAGTTTATATATCCTTGCTCATATACTTGTAATATCTCATTGAAAGGATATATTCGTTTGTTCATATTGCTTATCCTAGCTTACATATCTTGTTGTATTTCATACTTGCTAGGATAACGTATTAATTAATTTTAATTGGCATTTAATCGGATTAGATTAGCATAAGACCCTAATCACCCCCCCTCTAGGGTCTAACACGATTCTGGGGAATTTTATCCCGAAGCCTAAGTAGGGATAAGTCAGCGTCTAATACACGTTGCCGGGTAGCCTATTCCCGTAACAATGGCGAAGTCTACGTATTCGAAGTCGTAGCATCAAGTATAAGGGAGTTTATTCCTTTAGCACAACGTCACATGCGGAACGGACTTAAAACAATCCGCATGTAAGCCCGACTCAAACGGTAGTCGGTAAGAGCACGTCAAATCCGTTGAAGGCTGGGGGTTAGCCAAAAACCCTAAAGTCAACGCCTAACGCGTGTCGCCGGGTAATCTATTCCCGTGAGAAAGACGAAGTCTACGTATTCAATATCGTAGCACTAAGAGCGTTAACTCTCTTAGCACAACGTCACATGTAGAACGGATTTACATAATCCGCATGCTAGCCCAACTCAAACGGTAGTCGGTAAAGGCTTATCAAACCCGTTGATGGCTGAGGGTTTGCCAAAAATCCTATAAATACGAGAGTCACTGACGCATCAGCTTCATTAGTTGGTCTCGTGACTTGAGCATCCAGTGACATTCGAAACCCTAGGGTCAACGCCGGTCAACACGTAACCCTAGGTCAACGCTATTCA